TTTTTTGGCATTTTCGCGATTAGAAAAATACTCGACAAACAACATGCCTTGAGTATAAATAGCAGAGCTCCCGCCCGGAGTCTAGTCAGTCCTTTTCTCAGTTTTCTCAGAAAAGATCTCAGTATTCTCGGTTTCGGTCGCTCGCGTTGCTCCGTCGCACCGTTACCTTGCCGTTCGTTCGCCGCAAACTTGCGATCACGACAGTAACTGTTGTAATTCTCTTTTTTTGTTAGTTTTTTGTAATTGTCGAAATAAAAGTCTGTTCGCTCAATCCTCTCTCAATCTGTCGATCCAACCGTCCGCTTTCGCTTCCACCACGACGCAACATATTGATTTATATTTATATTACCTCAAAGTTCTTTTAACTATCTTAATAAAGAGCCAACTTCGCCATTTTTTTAAATATTTTAAATCCGCAAGCGGATGCAGTTTCCGAATCAATCGTACACGTTTATACCTCCATCCGATTCGTTTGTACAATTAAGGGAGTGATTGTATCGAATTTTCAATATAGGGATAAGAGTCATCTCTGCTATTTCAAATCAGCGGATACAAACGAAACGCAAGGTGGCACAAACTGGTACAAACGATCCCGAAACAGTACCCGCTGGCAGATTTAAAAGATCTTAAAAAATGGCGAAGTTGGCTGTTATCCCAATTTTTAAAATTTGGTACAATCACCCCTTTAAGGGAACAAACGAATTGAATGGAGTAGGTACAAACGTGTGGTACAAACGTGTACGATCGACCCAAAAACAGCACTCGCTTGCGGATTTGAAAAATCTCAAAGTAGGGTGCTAAGTTTTTTTAACCCTTTATAATTTTGAACCCCTTAAGGTACAAACGAAAAGAAATGATACAAACTAATACAAACCAAGCTTAATTTAATGCGCACTTGAAAACATTTTTTTCTTAAAGTCGGGTGCCAGGTTTACATAGGTTTATGTTTACCTAGTTGATTGCACAAAAACATTATAAGAAGTGTAACAATTAGATTTTTAATATGCTATTTTAGTAGATTAAACATTAATAACATAAAATTTATTTCTTATTTTTAATTTAATTTGAAAGGGTTGAAGAACGTAAACATAGTGGCTCAAAACGCGTCACTGGCCGAACTTGGTATGGATTCGATGATGGCAGTAGAAATTAAGCAGACATTGGAAAGAGAGTTTGATATTCTTTTAACGGCGCAAGACATTCGAAATCTTAATTTTGCTAAACTTAAACAAATGACAGATACAGCCGAGCAAAGGAAAACGCACAACATAAATAAAATTGATACAAATAATTTGGAAGGTTTGGACATCATGATTCAAATAATTAAGGATTCAGATTTAGTTTCAGATGTTCTTGTAGAACTTGCTACAGAGAAGGAGGATGGTAGAGATATTGTATTTCTCATACCAGGAGTTGAAGGATGTTCAAAAGTATATAAATCTATAGCATCAAAAATTAAATTTTTGCCAATATGTGTACAACATGGTATCCTTAATATACCTCAAAGTCATTCAGTGATGAAATCAGCTGCATATTTGCTGCCTGTATATAATTATAAATTATTTAGACTTTTAATTCTTATTTAATAAATATTATATCTAATAATTAAATTTTTTAATGTATTTAATAAATCTTTCGTATTACTACATATATACATACATTTATATTTATTTTCTTAGTATATATTGAAGAAATTAAAAGATCGAAGAGAATTTCTAATAGTGGGTTATTCATTTGGATCTTTAATTGCTATCGAATTAGCAAGATTATTAGAAGTTAATAATTTCTCAGGACGATTAATACTAATAGATGGAGCTCCTGATAAAATGAAATTTTGGCTTGAGCAATATACTTCATACACTTCGCCAGAAGAGATACAAAATACAATATTACTTAGCTTGTTGGAAATGTATACTGCAGTTAACAAGCAAATGGTTAGTAAATTATAGAATACACTTTGAATTTTATTTTAAAAATTATTTACGTAAATTTAATTTTATTATACATAAACTTAAATAAAATAAAGCATACATGTAAAGTAACTAACATTATAATGTGAATATTTGTTATGGCTTTATATTTGAATTTGAAATAGTAAAACAAAGTGTCTGTTTCTCGCAGTGGTCTTTAAGTATCGATAGGTTCTTTGAAAATGTAGCCAAAAACGGCTTTTACTTTATTTGTCATTCATAGTTTAAAAAATGCAAACCCCGAAATCGTAGCTGATCGTTTTTCCAAGATATTTCAAAATTACATTTTCTAATATTTGTAGACTATAAGTAATCATGAAATGTTTTATTGGATCATATACATATACGTATATAGTAATTATATAGTATAGTAATTTATATTATACACGAATTATTATGTAATATAGTAATTTATTTTATCATATACATATTATATTTTTACCTTATACATATATATAAACAGAATTACATACAGCCTTAATTAAATTAATATACCACTTTTAGCTTTAGCACCAGGACCAAACGTGGACATAGTGGTAGGATGATCCCATTTTTGTTTTGTTTTTGTTTTTTTAAATTTTATTATTTTTTATAATTATTGAATTTTTATTTTTTTATATAATTAAGGGTGTAATAATTTGTAATTATGTTCCGTTTAATTTTTAAAAATTAAAAATGAAAATAATTTTTACTTTTTCCAGTCTAAATATGCTGTGATTAAAGTGCAACAATTGCTTTTTTAAGTCTCGTTGTATATATAGTCTTCAATAATGTTTATTTTATACCGTTCCCAAAACTTTAAAAATTTTCTGTGAATTGATTCATCCGCTTGCTCTGATCATAAGCCCAGCCCATTAAAAATTGTCAGAGCAAGCTATGAATCAATTCACAGAGAATTTTTAAAGTTTTGTGAACGATATAAAATAAACATTATTGAAGACTACACATACAACGAACGTATTTTGGGAAAACGATCAACTACGATTTCAGGGTTTGCATTTTTTAAACCTGAATGATCACATATATAGCTGTAAAAGCCGTTTTTGGCTACATTTTCAATGTATCTGTCGACGCTTAAAGACCATTCTGTACACTCTCTCTCTCTCTCTCTCTCTCTCTCTCTGAGTGTTTTCGTGTAAAGTATAAGGATTTAAAGGTTAATATATAATATATTTATATATTAACCTTTAATTCGATCAGAACTTCAGATCTATTATTTTACAGTTCATTATAAAAAGATTAAATTATTGCTTTTATTTAATCTTATTTCATAATAAAATAATAACATTATTGTTGGGATTTTTTACTACAGAGGAGAGCACGTAATTTTAAATGAATATTCGGTCGAATGTTTGCATCAAAGAAATATAACTCATTACAAAAAATTGTTCTACATATAATCAATGTTAAGATAATTCAATGTAAGAAAATTCTATTAGCGTGTATCGGTTTTAATTATGACTGCTCATTAGGACTGCTCGCGCACAAATGAGCTCCTTTGTTCTTCCCTAATCCTTGCCGAGTCATTATACAAAACAGGCAAATACATACATATATAGAGTCCACTCGCATTCCTTCAAATCGCGCTTTACGCAATTAACGCTCGATACTGCCGCGCTGATTTTGAATTGAGATTACTTGTTATTTTCAACATGTATAATTCAACATATAATAATTATAAATATATTATATGGACATATATTTACAATAATTGTAAGTTCATTATTTTAATATAAAATGAGATTAAATAATAGCAATAATTCAAAAATCTTTCTATAATGAACCGTTAAATAATAAATCTGAAGTTTTGAGCAAGTTGTAAATAATTCAATAGTGTCATAAGACAATAAAAAATTATCATTCACTACGTAGAGATAGCTAAATTCCGTTTCTTACGATTTAAAACTTAGATTAACTGACTTCTGACTTTTGATCTATATTATTTTAATCCAACTAATTACTAATGGCTTATTGTAAAAAGTTAATTAAATATCAAAAATATAATAAATTCGAGTAAAGAAAAGTCGCTGATACCAACATCTTCTAAAGTGACATCCACTTATTTCTTGGAAACTAAACATTGCATTTTATTAACGCTGATAAAAATATATTTTGTTTAGTTAATTAAAAAGATAAAGATCTATAAATTTATATATTCATATATTTTTAAACTTGATTTTATAATCAGTTAAAAACAAATGCAACAATAACACTCTAATAATTTTTTTTGCAAATGTGTAGTTTAAATAAAGAATGAAATATATTCGAACTCCCTTCAATCAACAAAATTAACTAAAATGAAAGGGCTATAGGAGTTAACGCGGTAAACAGCATCCGCTTGCGGATTTAAAATATTAAAAAAAATGGCGTGCGCAATCAAAAACTAAATTAAATAAAAGCAAATTTTAATTATATAATTGCATAGTAGCTTGTTAAGATAAAATTATCTAGCTATTTCGTACGTTTCGACTGAACTTTCAGGCGAATACATAAGATGAAATAATGATGGTTCACAAGCTAAAATCTGCAGTTACGCAGTGGGACGAAGATAGTGTGAGAAGTCCCAAACCAGTTGATAAGCCAGATTAAGTATGCATTTCATAAAGTCTATGTAGTAATTCAGTAAGAATTCTAATTAACTAAACAATTTGAAATTAAAATCAGATAACTCACCCACTGTCGTAGAGATAAAATTTCGCCTCTCTGCATATAAATCGTCATCAAAATTAAACAACAATAAATAGTGTCATGGTCACAGTGATAAAAACGTATAATAATTTAAATAATTAAAATTAAATTGTATATGATAGAAAGCTCCGCACGTATGGTCTTTATACACTCACCCGCAAAAAAGCGGTACACTGAAAAATTAGGCATTTACCAAAGGATCCCGCACAAAACTAATGGGTTTTGGTTCCCGGTCAAATCGGCTGAAATTTTGATATGTTTTACTTTATGACATCCTGATCAAAAGTGTCCGTGAGCACGAAGTCAAAAAATGGACAGTTTTCGAGGAATCGGTGAATGTATTAAAAATACATTAAGAGGTTTCATAAGATTGAAGTATTATGATTGCAAACAATCCTTCTCAAGAGTGTCTAAATGTGTGTGTGTGTGTGTGTGTGTGTGTGTGCGCGTGCGCGTGTGCGTGTGCGTGTGCGTGTGCGTGTGCGTGTGCGTGTGCATGTGCGTGTGCGTGTGTGTGTGTGTGCGTGTGCGTGTGCGCATGGCTGGTGCACGGGCGTGCGTGTATATCACAGCAGAGATAAGGATCCTATGGCTCGTCACTTCCACATGCGCCACACACACACACACACACGCGCGCGCGCGCGCGCGCGCACACACAACACACACATTTTTAAACATTTTTTTAAATTATGATATCCGCCATTGAAAATGTAGACTTCGCAATTTGTCAATCTTACCGTATTTTAATAATTTCAAACCACTTAAAAACTGTTTGATAAATTGTCAATGATTTAAATCACAGTTTTTCCGCAATAAAAGGTTTAACAATAAATAACTTATTAATCATAATGGACACAAAAAATCTATTTTGAGGGTTGAAAGTCCTAACAACATATTTAATTTTGACTGCACGATCACTTCTTTAGCACGTCGCATTTCGAAGTTATAATATGACAAAGTATATAAAAATAGCCCTTCTTTGCAACTTTATCTGCAAATTTCTCAAAAGTGTGACGTGATAGAACAATTCTACAAGCGGATTCGGATTTAGCGTTCAAAAAACTGCGGAAAATGACTAGTTTGGTTATAGTATTCGAAAAAAGTCATTTTTTGATTGAACAGTGTTATCTCTCTTTTGATTTGCAAATTATGATTACATTTGTCCTGCAGTATGACAAAGTCCTCTAATCTTTGATTTAGCACAGTGCTGCACTAAATTTAACGGTTTAAAACTTCAAACATGAAAATTTTGCTACTGTCCAGAAACTTTTCGGGGGTAATGTAAATTTTACATACGAAATTTTGCGTTTATAACCCTTTTGTTTGTTTATTTGTCATTTGTTATTGTTTCATTTTTTTCATTTTTAGTTTTTTAAATAGTATAATTTGTAAAATTAACATAATGATATCGGCGATCTTTTCTTATTAACACGTTTGCTGCTCATCTGAAAGGACACACCATTTCTGGAAGCCAATCTCACAAAAACTTTTGTTTTCACATTCAAAGCCTGAATGGCTGGTTCGCTTTAATTAAACACACAGATTTATCATACGCTGATGCGTGATAAGCAGCAAACGTATTAACGAAAGAAAATATATAAATTGCAATTAATTAAAAATAACAGAATTTTTCTATTAAAAAAATTCAGAAAATTCAGAAATCTTTATTTTATTATTTAAATATGGACATTATTTTTAATGAAGCATATTTCTTATCAATTACATAAACTGCTAATTTGATAAACGTCTAATTGTATTTATTATTAGCTTGTATTGGAGCTGAATAAATGTAACGCATGGGAAGAGAAATTAAAAATATTTCATGCTTACTTTCCAAAGGAATTAAATAAATTAAGTATTGAAAATCAAAAACTTATATGTTCGACAATTTATAATAATGTAATTGCTATACGGGATTATAATATATCTTCATTACCACGCCTTAAGTCATCTATAACATTGTTAAGACCTACTCTTGCAATTACCTCTTTTATTGAAGAGGATTATGGTTTACGTAAGGTAAATTTAATTCAGATGGACATTTTTTAAATAAAGTACTGATAGTAAAATTTATTTTATAACAAGAGAATTTATTTTCAGGTTACCGAAGGTACAGTGCAAATTCAATATGTAGAAGGTACTCATATCACAATGATGGACAACGATAAAATTATATCGATTATTAATGAAGAATAGATAGAAAAACAATATGTTTAGACATTTGAATATTCTTACACACACACACACACACACACACACACACACACACACACACACACAACACGTGTATATGATATACAATGTACTATACACATCTGTGTACGTATATGTACTTTTTTAATATCTAAAAATATAGTATAATTTGTAAAAAAAAATACAAAATCAAACATTTTTATAATTTAAAATAAAATGCAGAAGTTATAAACAGATATACATATTAGGGCTGGTGATTTCCTTCGAAGGTTTCGAAAGATCGGCATTGAAATCTTCGAAATTCGAAGTTTCGAAACTTCGAAACTTCGATACTTTAAACTTTGAACCTTCGAAATTCAAAATTATACAATTATTAATTTAACACCTCTACCCATCCACCGATACACACACACACACACACACACACACACACACACATTGATATGGGCCATTCCACGTGAAACAAATCAGTCATCTCTCAGAAATTTTTTTAATTTTGCACAAAGGTAGTATTTTGGGAGATAGAATTTTATGCCAAAGGATTTTTTTCTTATTGCAAAATTAATCGAGATATAAACAATTAAAAATTAGACTACTTTATTTTTCAAAAATTCATAGCTCTGTTACTAATAATGCTAGCTAACTGCTTTTTTTTTTCAAAATACGCGAAAAATGTTCTAGTTTACGAGAAAAAAATGAAGATTCCAAAAATGTTTTGTTTTCCATTGTTTATTTAACAATAAACTTTTCAATAATTTTTTTAACCATCGGGGAGAGAGTCGAAAAATCTGAAAAAATATTTTTTATATACTTTCAGTTTTCCTATATCTTAGGAAAAAAACTCAAGAACGTGTTTTGCCTCGTTTTTGAGAAAAAAATTTTTTTAGTTCTTGATATGGGGAAAATCTGTCGACTCTCAGCGTGCGACTCTTATAAAAACAGCAAAACTTACAAAATATCTCTACCATACT